ACTAATCCCTTAAAAGTAAATGCTGCCCAGCTGCCTCGTGCCGCTTGTTCATTTTCGTTACTTCCAACACAATCTGCTTGCAATCAAAGTTGCAGTGATTACAGAGTGACGTGGACGTCGAAGATATTTTTATTGAATTGAATAATTAGAGTTGTTATAAAAGAACAAAAATAGGATCAAAGTCCGTGTCACCACGTGGTAACCATCATAGTAATAGCTCTGCGCTGGTATGTGAGCCGTTATTTGCAAAGCCTGTATATAAATGAGTAAAACATTCAAAACTTTTATGCGAACCGTATTCGCCACTCTCATTGGTCGTTGCATCAGTCGCTCACCTGGAAGTTGAGAAAAGTTTGTCTCTGGTCGCCTGTGGATACTCCGCTGTGGTCGCCACGTTGCTTTCACTGTGAACACAGTACATATGCTTTCAGTGACTCTCTGACGCAGGGGTGGAACGAACTGTGTATGTGTGTCTGCTGTGCTCTCTAACTGGGAAGCTCTTAGTTTTACATGTCAGGTGAATATGTTAATCGCTACACTGCAGAGCAAAGTTTAGTTAAAGGTTCCTTAATCTTCATAGTCCAAGCGTTTCCACCACTCAATGTTTGGTAGATGTGAAAATTCACCAGCTACTCAGAGTCTTTTTCAATAAATGCGGCATTTTATTATGACTCTAGCTGATGGGAGCTAAAGTGGCCTGTGACATTTAATGTTTCTTCACCCCGTTTCACCTCTGTTACACTAAGAGCTTTAGCAGCTCTGCGTCTGGCCTCACAGTCTCACCATTACTGTTTCTGACCGCTGTCTCATTGTGTGTATGTGTGAGCGTGAGAGCGGGAATCTTACAGACTTTTTCCTCTTGATGCAAGCGATCCAAAATTGGGACTGAATACGCCGAGTTTTAAAAGCCGCAGATCACCAGATTACAACTAGACAAAATCTGCTCTGTCCCAAATAATCTGGGCTCTTCAGCTGCACAAGAACAGGGAAAAAGGGAAAAGCTTTTTTTAAAATTTCGTTCTTGTATTCAAACCCCATGTTTTCTTTCCTCACCTCTTCACAGGTTTCAGGAGAAATGAGGAGATGAGAGCGATGGAGGTGCTTCCCATCCTCAAAGAGAAGGTTGCCTTTCTGTCAGGTAAGGTTATGTGTGTTTGTCTGGTCTCAAAAATGCACCACCCCCTGCTGTCTGATCATGGCAAATAAAGCTAATAGAGCCTGATGTATACTTTGTACTAATTAGTTTGTCAACACACACACAGACACACAGACAGTTGCAGGTATTAAGCTGTACTTTTTCTTGCGCACAGTCACGCACACAGTAACAAGCTGTGCAGGGGTCAGACTGAGGCGCAGACACTTGGCTCTTGACCTGTCTTTAAGCACACGCATATACACCCAGTTGACACACAGCACACACGCTGACATGCACACAGATATCTGTTGTTTGACCGTCATCAGCAGGACAGTTAGCGTAGAGAGCTACATCAGCCACGTCCGACACACACTCGCACTCACACACTCGAGTGGTGCCAGAGAAAACTCACAGGAGGCTGAGCTGGAGATGCGGATTGCCAAGAACATCCAGCAGGATTATTTGCACAACACACAAAAGCATTTTTTTTCAAGTGCGTGTGTGTTACTGTCACATTTGTGCGTATTCGTGCAAATGCAAGCACTCAGATCTCCAAAGAGCCAAATGGAATAACAAAGTGAAATCGGTGTGCGCGCTGGCAGAGAAGGTCACAGTTAGAAACACAATGACGAGGAAAAGGACTCTGACAAACAGCGAAATTGAGAGAAGGAGAGTCAGGGCAGCGTTGCCATGGAGATGACTTACTGCCAGCTTCCCATAGTGGACACTGGTGGAATAATTGGCTTTGAAATGAAGGTAGAGGAGGGGCCGCTAGTGAAAAGGAGGGTAAATAAGCTAAGCCTATTATCCCCAATTTGGCCCCTTAATAAATCGGCCATGTTCGCCCTCTCTCATGTTTGCCTGTTGCCACGTGAGCGTTTGATTTTCTCCTCTGAGCGGCAGGGTCAAGCCTACAGGCGCACAGCAACCCGACTGAACTCACTAATTTGCGGGCTGAGCAGAGAGGGCCTGTGTTTATGAGTTCCCACGTGAGCGAAGCAGCCTTCTTCTTCTGCAAGTGGCCAGAAACTAGGAGCAAAAATATTATTACAGCACAAAATACGACTGCAGAGAAGATAAAAGGTCTGAAAAATCCTTTAAAAGATCACAAACAAACACTGCAGAATTCAAACCCCATGTACAAAAAAAACAGTGCACAGTTTCTGCATAACAAAATGTATGCATTTGGCTCGCTTGCTGTTTGGAGAGAGCCAATCATATATACATGTTTGATTTATTTATTTATCTTTTCTGTTCTTTTAAAGGAACAAACTCTGCTTCTCCTTATTGTGTCATATTCTGTTATAGTGCAGTGTTAATATTAGATATGGCTTTAATAATATTCAGAAAATGCTCAGTCTAAACAAAACCCTTTCAGACTGCTCTACATGCTTCAATTCAGACAGTAGTTGTTTTGTTTTTTTAACATCGGGCTCTGTGACATCAGGTGAGGTCAGCCACGTAGCTATGGCTATGCGAATAGACTGTACATAAAAGATGCATGTAACCACCAGCGTTACCATCTTGATGTTTAGAAGATGTGACTCAGAAGGGGCGACTAACAGAGAACCTGAACACTGCACATTTAAATGCTACCATGTAGCCATTTACAAGCAATGTTGGGCCGTGCACAAAAACAGTGTGTCACAAATGACTCGCTACTTTGTTTCTAAAGCAGTGCCTTACTTAAACGTTGCCAGGAAAAAGTCATTTGATATAATAGACGTTACATTGTTTTCACATTACTCTGCAGCATGGTCTGAAATGCTTTGTCACATAATTACCAAGCTTAGGCTACAGTCTCACACCCTAAAATAAATCATTATACTAACACGTGCGCACACAAGATCTTTCTTCTAGCGATTAATTACGAACACAAAGCCAATAAAACAAAGCAGCGTTGAGAACCAGCCCAGAGAGGCTTTAGAGCAGTCGTCACGGTGATCGCGCTGTAGAAAAAGGCGCAGGTAGAAATGTAAGCTACAAGCCTGACTGCTCATCGCTGCCTCTGTGTTGAGCTGGGCTCATCTTTAACTTCACTCTGAGTTCTTCTCGGCTCTGCACAGATGTTGTGTTAGCAGTATAAATCAGTCGTTTCTGCCCTGGATGGTGTTTGCACTTGGCCATCGCACTCTCATCCTTTCTGTTTAATGAAAATCAAAGGAATCTTCATATTTGAAGAAACAGTTTCCTCCTGCCTGCACATCGACTGAAATCAGTCTGTTCAGCCATCGTGCAGATAATTGAAGAAACTTTGTAGAGTTACGCAGTGTCATGATTCACTTAACACAAAGTAAAGCTTTCTCCTCCTTTCTGGCCCTAATGGTGACATCATAGCTCATCAGGAGTAATGGAGGTCATAGAGCGGGGCGTCAGGGGTTATTTCTGTTTTGTTTCAGACAGTGGATGAACTGAGGGTCTGCACAGGACTTCTCGTCTGTGACCTTCATCCTGTTAAGATAGTTTTTCCCTTTTTTGCTTATAAATGAAAGCTTAACTTCATTATCATCAGCAGCTGTGTTTTGTGTTTATTCTTAATTAGTGAATGTAAGCACACCACGACTACAGTGAAGAACTGCTGCACGCGCTGCTCATCAGCTAACGTGAGCGCTGCCGTGCCGCGGTGCAGTCTCAAACAGCCTGTGGCGTGGCCACGAGCCCATTGCAAGCAGGTCCACTTCATTTTTCACAGCTCGACTGCACAGAGAGACAACGATAAAACA